TATATGACATTTCGATTGCTATGCGAATTTCTTTTGCCTTTCTTCTGAGATCTCGAACATATAATCATGAATAATTTTGACACGGTAAATAAATTCAGTAGTTCGAATCCACGATAGTTTTAAGAAAGCGCTAGAACCTCGCGTTAGCAATCTGAACAGCATTCAAACATCAAGCTGTGTCCATTCAGAAATAACTAGTTAAAATTATTTGTTTACAGTTGGCAAATAACCACGAGTAGTACTACGAAGAAACAGGTCCAGGTTCTATACGTACCGGATAACATTAGCAGTCCACTCTGAACACATCCCACGCCGGCTGTGATGCTATTGCTTGAANGTTGTGCTGTGATACATAGCGGTGCTGTGTGCTTTCTCTCCCTCCACCTGTGGCTTCATTCTTCAGTTATGATCAGCTGCTCTACCTACCATTCCTCTACGGTCCCTGCCTTCGCTATCAGTATCACCCTGAGGGTTTTCATACTCATACTGATGGTTAACATGCTCATGCTGAACTGGAGGAAGGTATACCTTCTTATTTTTGCCTTTCAAAATAAAAATCACAGCAACGGGTTAGCGAGGCGTTTTAACAACGAGCACATTTGATTTCAGACTACTAGCTGCTCAGTCACAGCTCCAACATCAACCCAACCGTGCTTTTTTGTAACGATGCAATTGCGACTTGAAGTGATTAACTTATTAGAAAAACAAGAAAATTATTAAAACGTAAATTTCTTAATCCTCTTCCCACTAATGTGTGTAATATATAGCGATGAATAAATTTAGAACGGATCTGCTCAGTAATAATATCCTGAGAGACATTGATGCTTTGCCAGTAGTTCCAGCACAATAAATTTTGAGCGTGCACGCATTAAAGAGGATTTTCAATTGAACTTTTTCCTACCGAGCGATTATTTATAAACCTTCAGCATTGACTGCTGACCCATCATAGACGCACTGTGTCTGTTGCGATTCTAATATAGCGGGTACCCAGATAAGTTTAAAATTGGTCTGAAATCAGTGTGCTGTTGCGCATATTGCATTAGTAGGTCATACGCCCACAAGCTGCATGGTAGTCTGTTCATATTGTGCTTGCTCCACAAAACAACAATTCAGTAACAAAACTAGCCAATTACGAAGTGTGCAAGACTTCGCTGCTATGCGAAAATAGAAGCTTTTCAATCAATTTTTGTAATTAGCGTATGCTATCATGTAAGAACAGTTGATAAGCACATGCATGTTTAACATGATTTTACAATTTACGTGTCACATTATATATATATATATATATATATATATATACATACACTTCGTAACATTGGCTGCATTTACGTACTTAAATTGTACTGAACTGTTTTAGGATTGCACAATATGAATATAAAAACCAACACATGACTAGACACTACAATAAATCTATAATTAAATCTAAATAAACAATTAGTTATGAAACAAAGCAATAAATGGCATTAAAATAGTCACAATGGGCATTCGTTTGGGAGTGCACATCACACAAAGCAATCCACGGAAAATTATTCAAAGATGGAAATCAAAAGGATTTGCATGGAAACGGAAAGAAGGACTCAAGCCCTGGATAAAGTTGCATGACTTGTAGACATCAACCTCTTCTGGATGCTCCAAGTCCAAGTATACACAAATTAGTTGTAATTTTAGTACAAAAACACACACACACGCATGTAAGCACGCACACTCACACGCACACGCACACACGCACACATACACACAATACACAATGCCAATGATTCTAGGAAAACAACAATAACTGGATGATCGATAACAGAAACAGGTTACCGATGCATCTCCGGTGAGTACTCGCATATATACACTCAGAAGGGAGCCCGTCTTCAGAAGCTGTAACATTATTCTCAGTCGTAACCGTTTCTGTTGCATAGCCCTAATGCTCATAGGGTCTATGTTCCCCCAGGGTACTGCCGGAACGTACCCTGGGTATGGGCTCTATCGTCCCCCTCATCCGGCACGCATACCATTACTCATGGTAGCTCCTGCTTCTATGCTACGTTCAACTCCATGCTGTTTTCTTGCTGGTCATGGTAACCTTCTTCTCGATGTTCTTGTTGCCCGGCTTCATGGTAGACCCTTCTTCCTCGCTGGCGTCATGTTCTCGGGCGCCCGGGACCGGGGGGTTTCCGTCCCATCGTAACTTTTTCTCCGGTCGCGGCTGTAACCGATGGTTATGTTCCAGTATGGAACTGCACACATATAAGGGTAGGCATCCCCAGCTGCTTTGGGACGCAATCGCGAAATTGGCGGTGGATTTCCATGACAGAGTTTGATGCACCGTGTGGTGTGGATTGCAGAACATTGGTTGCTGGTCGGGCAAGCTGGCTGGTGCGCCTAATCATGTTCTATTTCTTCTATCTATTTGGGTTCATGCTCTGATGCTGCTGGGCAGCAAAGGGCTCCGCAGGAAACGTACGAAGATACCCATCGCAGCCACAATGCAACCTGCAACCTCAGCAGGCAA